CTGGGCCGTCCGCGGGGCCCACCCGGCGAGGTACTACAGGATGCAGGTGACCCCGGGGCTGCTGCACTGGATTAGGGAGGGGAGCACCTGCACCTACAACGGGCGCCGGACCAACGTGTGCTTCCTGTTCGCGCGCAAGTTCCTGCCCAATGCGCTCGTCAGGTTCGAGATTTTCGCGCCCAAGATACTCGGGTTCGGGTGATCGTACGGGCGGTAGCCCGAGCTTGTGTTTCGACGTGCTGGTGAGATACGGAAAAAAGATCGGAGAATTGTTCGGGAATTAATTGGTCTTTGCGATACACATACATTCATCCAAATTGTTTTTTGGTTTGTTAATAGCCGCGTGTCAAAAATATCCTTACATACATACCTCCGGCTTCACCCAATTTATGGGGGTTCGGCTGCTTACGACAGAGAGCCTTGCGAGAGCTGAACTCTCTCTTTTATATTTTCTGAAAATTGAAAGCTCTTTTCATTGTAGCTTGTATCTTTTACAATTATAATCGGGTGACTTGAGCGTGAGAGGGGCTTCATTTAGGACCCGGACATGGCTATGGATGAGCTGTTCACGTGCTCGGGCCCCGTGTGAGTGTAGTTTCAAGCAATGAGGACAGTCGGAGAGGTTGCTTCTGTTGGGGAATTTCAGTCTCCCCGTCTGCCACGATATGCGTAACTCGGAAGCCAACCCCGATCAATAAGATAGAACAACCACAATCAAGAAAAAAAACACCGAGATTTACGTGGTTCGGTCGACCAACTTCGACCTACGTCCACGGGGCAACAATACGAGAAATTCACTATGTATCATGGAGAACTATAAGATGAACCACTCAACTCTCGTCTCTCAATCTCTCAACCTCACATACATAATCAATCCTCATATTCTCTCCAAAGCCCACTCCTTGTAATCTTTTGCACGGATAAAGACTACAAAACCCTCTCCCTCTCTCTCATCTACTACATCTCTATTTTTTCTTTATGGTTTTTCCTCCACCAATAGAAGAATATATATAGGGAAACCAAAACTCTATCTCTAGCCTAACTTCCTAATTAGAATAGGATTCAAACTCCTAATCATGATAGAACTCAAACTCCTAATCATGATAGAACTCAAACTCCTAATCATGATAGAACCCAAACTCCTAATCATGATAGAAATCTAACCCTATCTAATTCTCATGAAGTTACACAAAGAATCAAAGACAAAATCCCAACAGCTTCCACTAACAACCTCTCGCTCCCAACCTAGCTCATGCCTCTTGAGGTGCCAAGTGAACTTCCATCCGGGGATTTGGCTCTCCATGATCTTCTTGTGAAGTTGGCTGTATTGAAAGCCACCCACCGGTGGCTCATATTGAGCCACAAATTGCCAGACCCCTCTGTTGACTACAGAGTCTGAGCATACTGATGGGCCCCACATGATTTGGACGCGTTTTCGAGTCCTGTTTGGATTCGGATTGGGGAGTTGTTTGGCTAGTTGGACTCCTATTTGGATTCAGATTGGGGAGTTGGACTCCTGTTTGGATTCGGATTGGGGAGTTGTTTGGCTAGTTGGACTCGAATTTGAGGGAGACTATAAATAAAGATTGCCTAGGATTTCTCTATGTATCTTTGATAAGAAAAAATTATATTTATTTTGGCTTTGTAAGGGAGAGATTAGGGTTTCTAATCTTCTCCGTCTTCATTTTAACCTCTTGATAAATAGTGGATTGTCGATCTTGTCGGTTGTGGACGTAGGCATCTTGCCGAACCACGATTAATCTTTGCATTTTTCTTTGTGAGGTGGTTGCACATCTATGTTTGTCACTACACTTCTAGCATTGGAGAGACACCAGATCCATTCATCAATAAAAACTCTCTTGTACAGTATGGAGCAATCTGTTGGCTAAGAGAGAGTATCTAGTAAAGACGGTCCATTATATTAAATATACGCCCAAAGAATGTCAACTCTTGGATTAGTACATTAATCACAAAATTCGGTAATCCTTTCACTTCAATTTGTTTCAAAATTGATGTCTCATCAGATAACCTTATGCTTCTCTCTCCAGTAGTTTAGGAGCTGTTTTAGGAGATGTAGTTTTTTTTTTTGACTGAGAGGAGATGTAGTTTAGTTAGCATTATTTATTGTAAATGTGCAATGACACTTAAAAAATCTCTATTATTTTGAATTCAGTCCCTCAAAGCATCGAAATTGTTACTTAGCCTCTCAAATTCCAGTGTTTATTTCAAGGTACTCGTTTTATCCGTTATTCCGTTTAATTGCTAACTCAAGTCAGGTTAGTTGTTAATGTCACACGATGAATTACATATATACCCTCAATTAGTCATATATAGTTAACCGCACACAGTGATGAATCACATATATTTCAAGTTGTTTCTGACAATCGTCCGAAATTGAGAGGGGTTTTCTGATATTTACCCTTGAAAAAACTAATAGAATTTAAGGGACCAAATAATAATTTCAATGATTTAAGCAACTAATATTAAACTTTAACGATTTAAAGAACTAATACAAAAAACAACGCTTAAAACTAACTTCATCGTGAAGCCAGCTTGTTTCTCTCAAATCTCCACCGGGTCCCCACTAACAAAAACAGAGTAGCCATAGGGGAGCAACGGCTACCTCCAGTATTTCCCATTTATTTGAAACTGTGGAAAGTAAAATGCACCCCCGCAAAACACAAAACAACAAATCAATCCACCGACCTCCCTTCACTTTCCAGCTCTGCGAATACCCTTCTTCCCATTTTCCCCTGCCTTTATCAGCTAAATAAATATATACATCCCCTCAGCTTCAACTCTCAAACCTCCAACCTCTTAAAAAAACAGAGCAAGCAAATGCCCAGAAAAAAGAACAGCGTTCTGAGGAGAGCAAGGGCTCTCATGGCTTGCCACTTCACTTCCATCAGCAGAAACCTCCTGCTCTTCAAGAGAACCAATAAGAGGTTCTCCCTCATCAGCCATTACAACTATGGATACATTGGAGAGTACGAGTTCTCCCCTTCTGATACTCCGGTCTTTCGACTCCCGTGGCGGCCGGTTCCCAAGAAGAGGAAGAGGTTCATGTCCCTGCTTCTGTGCGGTGGGAATGCTGCTGAGTCTAGCGTTGATGGGGGTTGGGGAGATGAGTTAGAGGTTCTGTCAATTGCCCGGGATCAATCTGAGGCGTTGGATTGGGAGGAGGATGAAGCGTCGATCGACCGGAGGGCCGAGAGGTTCATACAGAGGTTCTATGAGGAGATTAGGATTCAGAGGCGCAGGAGTTTGTAGAGTGTGCGATGTAGTTACATGTTACTGATTGTTAGCCTGCAACATCCATTGGTTCACTCTGTCGAGTTTTCGTCGTCTCTCTGCAGGAGGGTTTTAGTAACCGTGCAGAGATTTGTTTTGATTTTTATGATGGTATTGTTTGATTCTGTTATCAGATTTTGTAACTTCTTTTGGACCCAAATTTCGGGACACTTGCAAGGGGAAGGTGAGTTGGCACAATCCCAGCTGTTAAACTCATGAAAACAAATAGGGGTATTTTAATTGGTTTTTAGAAGAAGAAAAAAAATCCACTTTTCGATTTTTTTTTTTAAGTTCTGTTTAGATTTGCCACAAACATCTCCTTCTGTAGCATGATTGAAGATTATAAATCACAAATGGAAGATCAGAAACACCAAAAAGTAAAAAGAAGGGAAAAAAACAAATACTAATCTTTCCCTCATTTAATTAAGAAAAAGCCCGAGATCTCAATATACCCCTTATAAATTTTAATTTCTGAAAATTTAAATGAAAGCAAGAGCATCCATCTCCCTGTAGTCTGTATCAAATATTTTAAAAATAAATACAACCATTTGAATTGCTTCTACTATATTGTCTTTATATTCTAGTGTCGCCATTCTTAATGGCGATGCAATCGTGAACGAGAGGCGGCGGCGGTGATGAGCAGGTGACGGAAGGAAATAACTCTAATTGGCAGATAAGAGGAGGCGATGGTGACTCCGGTCGCAATAAGAAGGGTTGGCGGTGTTGGCCAATGGAGGAACCATTCATGGCGCCGGTGAATGAAGAAGAAGGCAATGATTGGTGACACATAAGCATGTCACGTCACCTGTCACACCAATTTGTCCTATATTTGGGTCCTCATACCTAGGCATGTCCATCTGGGCCGGCCCGACCCGGCCCGGCCCGGAAATCCGGGCCCGGGCCGGGCAAAACCGGAGCCCGGACCCGGACCCGGATTTTTTTCAATTTTTTTCTTTTCTTTTTTTTGATAAAAATGCTAAAAATTAGTTTAAATTTATTATATTTTATATAATTATGTATTAGTATATACTTACAAATTATTATGTAATTATATATTATATATACATATATTATATATATTATATATACATATATTATATGTAAATATATTGTATATATTTATAAGTTATAACTTGAGAGAGAAAATCGCATAAGTAGCCATTGCCCGTTTGGCTAATGGGGAAGAAGTAGCCGTTGTAATATACTATACTTATATACTAAGAGAGAGTATACACACACATATTATACATATATAAGAGAGAGTATACTTATATAAGAGGGAGTATACATATATAAGAGAGAGTATACCTTTATAAAGACGGAGTATACATGATTATACATAACTATAAGGAGTGTATACTTAGTATCATACTTATATAAGAGAGAGCTATACCTATGTATATATATCATATATATACTAATAATATAGGGTACTAATATAATATAAGTATATAATATATATATATACTAAACGAGAGGAAGAGGATATACACACACATCATATATGATACACTATATAAGAGAGCAGTTATACCTTATATTTACATATATAGCGAAGAGAGCAGTATATATATATACACACATATATTTATACATATCATAACGAGAGTGTATAGCTTATATATACATATATATAAAGACAGAGACTATACATATATAACCAAGAGAGCATATTGACTATATATATACATGTATAGTATAAGAAAGAGCTATATCTACGTATACATACATACATACATCGTATACATATATAGAGAGAGATATATACACACCACATAATAATACATATATAAAAAAAATATATTATATATACATATATTAATTATACATTATATAAAAATTAAAGTATATAATACATATATTATACATATCTAAATTACAAAAAATAAAAAAATAAAAAAAACGAAAAAATTACTATCCGGGCCGGGCACCAAAAAGACGGCCCCCACGCGGCCCCCGGCCCCGGCAGCCCGGACTTGGCCTCGAGTTACCGAGCCGAGGCCCGGGCCGCGGCCAGGCCGGACCCCCTGCGCCCGCGCCAGGCTCCGAGGACGGGGCCCGGGACCGGCTGACGGCTTTTGGACACCCCTACTCATACCAATACTCATAATTCTTTGGTACCAACTGTGTAAACGAGCGCATGTTAGGTGTTAGATTACCACCTGAAATAAGTTAGTTCAATAAACAAGTTGACCTATGAGTCTTGTGCGATCTTGCTCAAGTACGGCGATCAATGATGACCACAGTAGCAAGAAACCATTTATCCATTTGTCGCGAACGTGCATGGCTCTCCGTTATGTGTGCGATCATCGCATATTTCAAGACTACACGAGGGGATCGCCCTCATTCATTGCCGAAAACCTGTCTGGTAGACAAGTATGGTCGAACGGCGCGATCCTTGGTGGAGCATTATTTACGGACATTGAACAGTGTCGCGATTTTTTTTACAGACATTGAGTGTCATAAGGGCATCTCCAACCATGCCTTATTTCCCGCGTCATTTTGGTAAAAAAAAACAATGTGACGTCAAATATGGCGTCACACTGTTCATCGTGCTATTACTGTTCATCACGCTATTTTTTACCGTATTTTATTTTCTGTTGTGTTCTTAAATTTAATATTTTGGCAATATCAATAATAAAAATAATAAAATAATATTTTATAATTTTACCCCAATAATTTTAATTAATAAAATAATATTTTATTATATATTTTATAACATTTTACCCCAGTAATATCTCCAACACAACGGCAAAATGCTGCAAACAGTGCATTTGTCGCTGCGTTGGTTCTCCAATCCAGCGCCATTCTCTGCAGCATTTGTCGCATTGTTTCTCATTCCATTACTGTCTTTTTATTTTTTTTTATTTTTTAACTTTTTATTTTTACCTTTTAATTTTATGTATTTATAATTTGACCCTAACTATTTTATTTAAATTTATAAAACAACCCCAATAATATTTAAATTTTATAATTTTACCCCAATTGTATAATTTGGACAAAATAAATTATTTTTAAAAATTAAAATAATTTTAAAATTTAAAATACATTATTATTAATTATAATATTAAATTCTAGACATTATAATTAAAGTCCCATGAAATACAAATTAAAAATATAAATAGCAATCCTAATACATAATTCCAATATAAGTTACATAACTAAAATTCATAACATCTAATATAAAACTTTATTAAAATAGAACATAAAATATAAACTAAACATATAACATTACATAAAATGAACAAGCAACTCTCAATAATCTAGTAAATCGGATTCAGAGTGTCCAATATCATTAAAATAATTACCAAAATTAGAAGCAGACCCTTGTTCTTGTTGATTTTTTTTGTATTATTTTAATTTGTTGAGCTCGAACGTACTCACGTACGGTTGGATCAGCAATGGAATTCAAATCTTTCATTATAATTTTCCATTTATCTCTATCTTTTTCATGGCTATATTTTCTCGTTCGATATCAAATGCTACTTGTTTGTCCAAGCTCGTCTTGTCTAACCTGTCTATAAATCGGTTGTTATTTGTGTCGATGGAGTCCACTACACTTGACTCATGATCATCATTTTTGTGTGAACTAACTACAAATTATAGTGAACATCAAGTTACATCAAGTTATGTATTTCAACAATAATAATAAATTTCAAAAGATAATTAATAGAATACTTACAATATCTTCATCTGAAGCGCCACTTGGATTCAGATCTCTACTTGTCTCAAGCACACATTCAATTTTCTTACTTCATTACTTATGAATTCCATTTAAGAACGAACTAATCGGCTCGTACGAACCTCAAAATGTTGATCTCGAAGTTCATTGTATTTGTCCTCCACACGAGACCAAAATGCATCTCGAGACTGGTTTCTATCGATAATAGGGTCTTGAGAAATATCCATGAATAATTGACAAAGGAACACATCTTCAGTAACCCTGTATTTAGATGATCGAGCAAACATTTTTTTTGTAAAAAGTGGTTAGTTTGGAGATTAGAAATACTTTGAAGAAATACTTCGAATTTGGTGGTTTGAAGTAGAATCCGTGAATGTTATTTATTGACAATTCAAATTTGTTATTTTATTTTGAAATCAGCTCAGCTTTACACATTGTCCAACGTATACAGTTAAGCATTCATTGAATTATGTGAAAATTTTATATGAGTGAGAATCATTTTCTAAAATCAGCTCAGCTTTACACATTGTCCAACGTATACAGCTAAGCATTCATTGAATTGTGTGAAAACTTTATATGAGTGGGAATCATTTTCTAAAACCAGCTCAACTTTACATATTGTCCAATGTATACAGCTAAGAATTCATTGAATTGTGTAAAAACTTTATATGAGTGAGAATCATTTTCTGAAATCAGCTCAGCTTTACACATTGTCCAATGTATACAGCTAAACATTCATTGAATTGTGTGAAAACTTCATATGAGTGGGAATCATTTTCTGAAATCAGCTCAGCTTTACACATTATCCAATGTATACAGCTAAGCATTCATTGAATTATGTGAAAACTTTAAATGAGTGGGAATCATTTTCTTAAATCAACTCAGTTTTACACATTGTCCAACGTATACAGGTAAGAAAATTTAAATTTTGTGACAAATTGATAATAGCTGGAAATCATTTCCTAAACTCAGCTCAGCTTTACACATCGTTCAACGTATACAGCTAAGCAAAGTTTTATAAATAGCATACTAGATTAGGTTCCTCCACATAATTATTCGTTGTTGTGTTAAAATTATTATTCTCCATTTCTACATACTTTAGTTATTCTTTTCTTACTTCAAAAATGAATTTCAATGCTGGAGGTCCATCATATTTATCATCATCTTCATCTTCGGATGATGATAATTTTCTGAAAAATATCATTGTAGAGATTGATAAAACCAAAGAAGTAATTCGTGAGTACATTAACAACAACATGATCCTCGCTAACAATTTACGTCAACAAAAATACCAACCGATCCATGATGGCTCGATTCCTAGTCATGCAGTGATCAACCGTGATCAAGAATCTGCACATCAGAATTTGGTTAAGATTATTTTTCCCAATAATCCACATTTTGGTGAAGATATGTTTTTTCATCGATATCGGATGTCACAAAGTTTGTTCCTTCGTATTATTGATACAGTGAAAGATCATGACTATTACT